CAATTGAATGGGGGGGGGGCAGAAGGCATGGAGGGCAACCATGGATGCCAGGGACAATGGAGGAGGAAGATGGGACATAGCAGAGGGTGGGGGATGGGGAATCAGGGATGGCAAGACAAAGGGCAAGGTATGCAGGATGTAAGAATTGGAAAATTATTTGCTGAGAACATGTATGTGGATGTGCTGGATTGAACCAATGCACAGTGTATTTTGGATGGAAAATTCATTGGTGTGTTGTGATGGTGTATAGTGAATTAATGTAGAAAATAAAAATTTTAAAAAAAAGAAAAAAAAAGCTATTAAGACGCTCAACTACTCTCTTGCCTCCTTCTAGTTTTTAGGGTAAATGTCACATTCTGATCACCCCAAGAAAACTACACGCAGGATGCCGGTGGCACTATTTATTCCCTCCCTGGCTTTGTTCCCTAGAATTTATACCTTGTAAAACAGTACTGTGGTTACTTAAGTTCATTGTCTCCCCCAGAATGTGAACTCCACAGGGTGGGTATTTTTGTCCAACTTGTTCACCGCTGTGTCCCCAGTGCTTGGAACAGTGCTCGACACACTAGACCCATACATGGAGGGAAAGAAGGCGGGACAGAGGGAAGAGAGGCAGGAGTGGTGTTTGTATCTGGGTGCTGCATGTGTGACACGTGTCTGTGTGTAAGCAGGTATTAGTGGGTATGTTCCAGCTAGCCTGTGGGCATCTGTGTCTGCTTGTGCCCATCTGTACCTTTAGATAATGGGGCCTAGGTGAGGATTGTGTATTTCTGTAGGACACTGTGTTCACGTTTGTGTCTGTGTGTGCCTGAGCTCATAATTTGGGCGAGGAGAAGGCTTCGAGAGCTGGATTCATGTTCTCCAATCGTCTCTCTCAGCATTTGAATGTGGAAGAGGAAGACCTGGCCCTCTCTGACACCCACATCCTTTTTTGGGGGGAGGGAGAGATTTTTGCTATAGGGTGTCTACACTTGCCAGAGAGAAAGAAAGAAAACTAGAAATCATCCCCTAGGGGGATGGCCACCCCACAATCTTTTCTCCAATCTCTTAGGATTTTGGGCACACAGGCACACACGCCCAGTGTGAGTTTTTTTTTTTAAAGAATTATTTTATTTAACTTTATTTATTTTAATTTGACCAGGGAGAGACAGAGAGAGAGAGAGCAAGCCACCAGGTCCGGGACTCAAACCACAATCGGCCATGTGGGAGTCCAGCGTCCTTAATCACCACACCACCTGAGTTTTAAGCTACTAGGTCAGCTGTAGTCAACTACATCTCGGGAGTCCAGCAACATAACCACTACGCCATCTGGTGGTCCCAACACCCACATCCCAGCCAGTTCCCAACAGATCTCAGAGGAACCCAAATGTGGATCACACAGAGAACTTCGGGGAAAACGCGCACTCTTTTTGGCATAGAGTCTCCAGCCATTGTGGCAGGGGTGGGGAGGTATGGCACAACACAAGGGGGTGATACCCAAGGTGGGGGCACTTCACAAAAATCTGAGCTCCCCCTGTGAATGTCCCAATTTGCCAGGCTGAATGAGCTGAGCAATAGCAAGAAGGACTAAAGCTAGACTTTGAGGCAGGATTTTCTGAACTTAGGAATGTGAGATGAGGAAGAGGTCATGTAGAAGTTAGGGCTTCATGGGGCAGCTCCATGCCTGGTCGTTGAGGTAGCTGGATCCCACATGGACGACCATGTGATTTATCTCAGAGCCAGGGACTTGAGAAACACACAGGGTATGTATATGCATGCCCCAAACCTGGTAAGCATCCACACCTGATAGGAACAGAAATGTGGCCCAGACTCGGTAAATCTACAGAGCTCCAGTTCCCACGTCCTGGCAGCTCATCTGCTTTCTCTCTCTAGCAACATTCCCACCACCCTGTTATGGCACTTGTAATCTCTTCGCTGCCCGCCTTGTATCCATCCCCCATTCTTCCGTCAGAGCAAAATAACTACGACACACAACCAAACCATGAGCTCCCAGCCTCCCCAACCTTGGCAAGGAAGACAGAGTTCAAGTGTTTATGAAGACAAACTGATCTATTCCAAGGTGGTTCTGAACAAGGGTCCTGGAAGAAGAAGGGGTGGGGCCCTGGGAGGTGGGAGACCTGTCAGTGCCCTTTCCCTCCCCACTGTGCCTAGAAAGGTGATAGCAAAGGATGTAGAAAATTGCAGGCATAATCAACAAGGAGAGGGTCAGCAGGTGGCTTTTGGATAAGGCTCTGAATCCCACATGGCCTACTAACTGGTTTGAGTCCTGAACCCGCGGCTTGAAAAACACACTAGGTGCGCACGCAAAGTCCAAAGAAGACGAGAGAAGGGATTGTGGTGTGGCTATCTCCCTCAGGGGCGGTTTCTCACTTTCCCTCTCTCTAGTGAGCACACATGCTCTTTAGCAAAAAGAAAAGAGAAATCAATAAGATTAAGAAAAGGAAGACAAGCGGGCCCAGGATGGTGTGGTAGATCATAGCGTCAGTACCCTGTGTGTGGTCCAAACACTGACAAGGTGCTAGAGTCCCACTGTGGTTTGAGTCCTGGACCTGGCAGCTTGGAAATTCCACCAAATAAATACATAAATAAAAGGCAACTGGCAGAGCTGAAGGGGAGGTGGGAGGCAGCCAGTAGGAGGGGTTGGCAGTGGGCAGGGCCAGGGCACTGTCTTGGAGTCACAACAGAAGACTGGGTGGGGCCTCCAGACATTTTGCTTTCCTCGTAAGCAGGGTGATCTAGCAGGCATGCCCTGCCTTACCCCTCTGCTGGCTGGAATACAGAAGTGATGGATAGAAGCTTAAGAGTGAAACTACAGCACAGTAATGATGGCAGAAAAGAAATACAGAGAAATTCCCGATTTCCTGACAGCCAGCCAACTCCAGCACCCTCCCACCTGTTCATGAGAAAATTTGTTCTATCACGTGAGCCATTGGCAGTTAAATTTGCTCTTACTTACAGGCAAACGCACTCCTAACTGGCGTTTACTGCTAACGGAAATCTAATTCTGTGCCAGGCCTTCTGCTAATCCCTTCTCAGGCATAATTTACTGGGTTGTTGGAAAAGTCGTGACATATTTTTTTCTATGTTTCTCTCTACAAAAATGTGTCATTTTTCCAACAACCCAATGTTATGTAATTATTACAGATATTCCATTAAGTTATGTTATGATATCTATTTTTTTTAAAGAATTATTTAATTTGGGACCGGCAGATAGCGTAATGGCTATGTCGCTGGACTCCCATGTAGTCGACCACGGTTTGAGTCCCAGATGTGGTGGCTTAAAATCATGTTGGGCATGTGTGCTTGCATGCCCAAAAATCCAAAGAGAAGAATGGAGGAGAAGGGATTGGGGCGTGGTCATCCCCCGTGGGGAGTGATTTCTCGCTTTCTGTCTCTCTTTCTGGTGAGCACACGCACCCTATAGCAAAAACTTCTCCATAAAATAAATAAATAAATAAAATAATTATTTCATTTTATTTATTTTATTTTAATTTGACCAGAGAGAGACACAGAGAGAGAGGAAGTGAGAAAGCAAGCCACCAGGTCCAGGACTAGAACCATGGTCAACCATATGGGAGTGTCCATCGCCTTAACCACCACACCACCTGCTGGTTCCATGATATCTATTTTATGGAAAGGAAATTGAAGCTCAGAGAAGCAGCATCCCTTGTTGGAGGTCCCACAGCAACTAAGCGGTAAACTTTAGTTTGACTCTTGGGCCTGTGCACTAGACCTCCTGGCCTGTGACCAGTGAGCCCACATGCCAGCGACAGAGTACAGGGCCCATAAATGTCCACTGTATGTCCCCTTCCCCTGGCAATGGAGAGCCCTCCCAAAAATGGGCTTCTAAGACCTGTGGGCTTAGAAAGCGGGTTGTAAAGTACAATGGAGTTTGGAAGGTCAGGGGTTTGAGGTTGGCCACAATTCCTGTTTTCTTCTCAGCCTGAAGAATGCTAGTAAGATGACAATTTTCAAAGTGTATCTCAAGAGGGCTGGATGGTGTACAGGATTAAACTCGATGCTCTGCAATGCCAACCCACGTGGGAAGGTTACTCTTTTGTATCTGGAGACCTCTCTGAGTATGCTGGGCAAGCACATGATCCAAACCGGCTGAGGCAGGGCTGGATCACAGCATCAGTACCCTGTCAGGGGTGATGTCTCTCTCTCTCCTCTCTCAGAATAAACAAAGGAAAAAAAAAATATCTCAAGCCAGGACATGAGAAATGAAGGACCTCAAAAAAAAAAAAAAAAAAACAACTGTCCTTGACATCAAAAGAAGTTGAGGTGAGACTACGAGAGACAGGACCAGCCTTACATTCTAAGTTTGGCCTCCACCCCCGCCCCTACCCTTGTCCTGGGTCCAAACACTGATGATGCCAGGAGCATGCACATGCAGGTGACTTGCACAAACATCAGAAAGTGAGTGTGGCAGAGGCAGGCAGACACAGTCAGACCAGAACGCAGGAAGGCAAGGTCTATGTATTTCCCTCTTAACCCTGCTCAACCCTACCCCAGCCCAGCCACCATCAGAAAAGGACCTGATTTGGCAACATTTCAGCCCTTCTCATCATCTTGCTGAGGCTCCTGAGGTGGAAAAAGAAGAGAGAAATGAACAATGAGAACAACTCCATCAGACAGCACTATTAAGATACAAGGTTCACCAGGAACCAGCAGTTAGTGTAATGGCTATGTCGCTGGACTCCCATGTAGTCGACTGCAGTTCACGTCCCAGACCCGGTGGCTTAATAAAACTCACGCCGGGCACGTGTGCGAGCGTGCCCAAGATCCCAAGAGGAGAATGGAGGAGAAGGGATTGCGGCGTGACCATCCCCTCTGGGGGGTGATTTCTCACTTTTTGTCTCCCTGTCTCTCTCTGTCTGTCTGGCGAGCACATACGCCCTATAGCAAAAAAATCTCTCCAAAAAAAAAAAAAAAGAAAAACAACGATATAAGGTTCACCAGGTACCAGATAATAGGCACTATTCTGGTGTTTTCCACAATATCAATGCCAACAATATCAACTCTAGTTTCCTTGTATCTCTCGCTCTCTCTATATATATATATTTTTTTTAATTTTTAAGATTTTTGCCATAGGGTGCAGAGAGACAGAGAGAAACAAAGAGGGAAAGTGAGAAATCAACCCCCAGGGGAGATAGCCATGACACAGTCCCTTCTCTTCCATTCTCCTCTCGGGATTTTGGGCATGCACGCACATGCACCTGGCGTGTTTCTCAAGCCACTGGGTCTGGGACCCAAACCTCACAGTCAGCCATGTGGGATCCAGTGCCTTAACCACCATGCCACCTGCTGCCACCTTTTGCTGTTTTTCCAACACACCAAGCATATTCTTACTGCAAGGCCTTTGCACTTGCTGCTCTCACCATCTGGAATATTTTTCCCCAGATATTCATTCACATGTTCAACCCTTCACTGCCTCCAAGTGTCATATATCACCTTCTCAACCTCCAAGTGTCATATATCACCTTCTCAACGAGGTCTTCTTCCAAACACTCAATTCAGAATTGCAACAATAACGATAACAATAAACACCCTCTTCTCCACCCCTCTTCCTTGCTTTATTTTTCTCCCCAGCATTTAATACCTTATAAAATGTGTTTTATTTCCCAAGCTATCTTTATGTTGTTGTCTCCCTCCCTAGAATGTTAGCCCCACCAGCGCTGGGGTTTATGTCTGTTTTGTCCTCTGTTGTGTCCCCAAGGCCTAGAATAGTGTCCAGCACATAGTAGGTACTCAGTAAATACTTGTTAAATAAAAATAAGTCTGGGAGGAACCAGCAGGTGGCACGTTGGTTGGGATGCTGGACTCCCATATGGCCAACCACAGTTCAAGTCCCAGACCTGATGCCTTGCTTCCTCACTTTCCTTCTCTCTCTCTACCTCTTTCTGGTGAGCACATGAACCCTATAGCAAATTAGTAATTATTATTTTTATTAATAAAATTAAATAATTCAAGTAAATAAATCTGGATGTGACCCCATAGCCTCATGGCTAAGGGAGTTGGGTCGCACTTGGCCAACCACAGTTCACGTCCCAGTCCTGGCAGCTTGAAAACTATGTCCCAAACCCTGACAGGCTGGAGAGATGGAGAAGATTGTGGTGTGATCGTTAGGAGGTGCTTCCTCTCTCTAGCTGTCTTTCTCTGGTGAGAGCATGCACTGCTAGCAATTAAAAAAGAAAAAAGAAATTGGTCCAGCTACAGTGGTGCAGTAGAAATGCAATTCTCCACAATGCTGAAGCCACATGGAAAGGTCCTGGGTTCACATCCCAAGGTCTCCCTGTACATGCTGGGTGTGCACAGATGCCCATGATCTGGGCTGGCTGAGGGTGGGGCTGGATCATGATGTAAAGACTCCACCAGAGGTGCCTGTTTTTCTCTCTCTGTCTCTGTCTCTGTCTCTCTCATGGAAAAAATAAATTAAACTTAAAAAAAAAAAAAGAGGGTCTGGCAGGTAGAGTGGTGGTTAAAGGTGCTGGACTCCCACATGGTCAACTGCGCGGTTCAAGTCCTGGACCTGGCGGCTTGCTTTCTCACTTTTCTTCTCTCTCTCTCTCTCACTCTGTCCCTCTCTGGTCAAATTAAAATAAATAAATAAAGTTAAATAAAATGATTCTTTAAAAAGAAAGAAAGATATCCAATGAGGTAAAGGCAGTTATAATATTTGCTTTACTGAGGAGAAAACAGAAGCTCAAAAAAGTGAAGGCATTTGCCCCAGGTCACACAGCCAGTAAATGGCAGAGCTGGGATTTAAACCTAGCAAACGCTAGCTTTACCATTACCTATTGTCTGGATCTGTAACGTAGCTGATTGTCATTCTTGTCCATGTAGCACCCTAGACCTATGTTTCAGAGGACCCAGTCCCACTCCCAGTTCCAAGCATAAACACATGGCTCAAGACTGGCCAATGAAGCACTGCATTCCTTGGCGCTCAGTGATCGGTTCAGGGATGGACATGTGGCCTAATCAAGGTCAGTGAGAACCTTCTACAGGATTTCTACCACCAGAAGGAAGAGCCTGCCTGAGAAGAAAGCCAGTCCAAGAAAAAAGCAGACCTTAAGGGCCAGCAGGTAGCATGTTGGTTAAGGCATTAGATTCCCATATGACTGATGATGGTTCAAGTCCTAGACCCAGTCTAGAGGCCTCTGGGAGCCAAGGTGGAAGGGACTGAAACAGAAGATGCAGATTTCGACTTAAGAATGATCTCTCAGGGCTGGCAGGTGGCATGGTGGTTAAGGGCACTGGACTCACACAGTTTGAGTCCCAGACCTGGCAGCTTGATTTCTCACTTACTCCCTCCTTCACTCTATCCCTCTCTGGTCAAATTAAAATAAATAAATAAATGAATAAAGTTAAATAAAATGATTAAAGAATAAATGTTTAAAATAAATAATTCCTTAATTATTTTATTTAACTTTATTTATTATATTATTTTTTAATTAGACAAGAGAAAGAGAGAGAGAGGGAATGTGAAAAAGCAACCCACTAGGTCTAGGATTCGAACCGTGGTCAGTCATGTGGGAATCCAGCGCCTTTGACCACCATGCCACCCGCTGGCCTCGAATAAAATAATTCTTTTTGGGGCCGGCAGATGGCCTGGTGGTCAAGGGTGCTGGACATGGCAGACCATGGTTCGAATCCCTGAGCCTGGCGGCTTGCTTTCTCACTTTTCTCACTCTCTCTCTCTCATTCTGTTCCTCTCTGGTCAAATAAAATAAATTTAAAAATTCTTTTAAAAAATAATAACTCTTTTTTTTTATTTTTTGGAGAAGTTTTTGCTTTAGAGTGTGTGCACTTGCCAGAAAGACAGAGAGAGACAGAAAGAGAGAAATCACCCCCCGGGGGAATGGCCATGCCGCAATCCCTTCTCCTTCATTCTCTTCTCAGGATCTTGGGCACGCACGCACGCCTGGCGTGAGTTTAGCCACTGGGTCTGGGACTCGAACTGCAGTCAACTACATGGGAGTCCAGCGACATAGCCATTAGGCCATCTGCTGGTCCTGAAATAAAATAATTCTTAAAACAAAACAAAAAAAATCTCTCCAGCTGCTCTATGGAGGGTGGATTAGAGGGAGTAGAGGCAGGGGTGAGGGTGGATAGGAGTAAAGGAAGGGCTGGACCCATGGTAGACGATGGGGGAGAGACACGGCAGGGGTGTTTGGAGGCTGAATGGACAGGCTGAGGGACTGAAGGGCTGTGACAGGGGTGGTGTACAGGTTGGAGCCCAGAGCTCTGCTGGGGACTGGAGTCTGAGATGGAAATGGGGAGGGCAAATGTAAAGAGTTTGCCAAACTGCAAGGCCAGCAGATGACATAGTGGTTAAGGTGCTGGATTCCCACATGGCCCACTGAAGTTTGAGTCCCGGATCTGAGAGCTTGAAAATCACACTGGGCACATGTACGTGCATGCCCAAAATCCTGAGAGAAGGGAGAAGATTGCTTCATGGCCACTCCTCTTGATTTCTCAATCTCTCTCTCTCTCTCTCTCTCTGTCTCACTCTGGCAAGCGTATGTGCCCTTTAGCCAAAACCAAGAAAAAAGCAGAACCCAGAATGAGAGTCAGATTCCCAGTGGCAACCTTATGGTGCCTAGATCTAGCCATGCTAGAAACACAAAATTATACCCTACTCTTTTATTACTGCATGGCAATTTTTTTGTCTAAAGCAAGTTTGAACTGTGTTTTTTTATTTTTAAGTATACTCATTGATTTCTTTCACAAGAGAGATTGAGACAGGAAAAACAGGCACTTCCAACAGGGTCCCTACTCCATGATCCATCCCCTCCCTCAGCCTCAGACAGCTCAGATCACAGGCACACACACGTGCACTCTGCATGCACAAGGTGGCCCCGGGACGTGAACCCCAGGACCTTCCCATGTGGGTCCAACACTGAAGAGTATCTCGTTACCTCAGCATCAGCATCTGGCACCTGAGCTAAGTTTTCTCTTGTCATCAGAACAGTCCTGACTGAGTCTAGGAACAACAGCTATCACTTGTGCAATCTTTGGTAGGTTCTTGGAACATCTAGCTTTACCCCACGTTAGCCTTGTATAACTGGTGAGTCCAGGATTTAAACCTCAGAATCTATGACTTTGGAAGCTATGTGACCACCCTCCTCCTAGGAGGTGAATTTTCTGTGTATTGATTGATGTGAGAAACAGACCTTTCCATTTCCTCCCTTATCACAGACTCCCAGCTTAGCTGTTAAAAAAAATAGACCTACTGGGAGGAGAACCAGCAGTTAGCGTAATGGCTATGTCGCTGGACTCCCACGTAGTCAACCGCGGTTTGCGTCCCGGACCCGGTGGCTTAAAACTCACACCAAGCGCGTGTGCGTGCGTGCCCAGGATCCCGAGAGGAGAATGGAGAAGAAGGGATTGCGGCGTGACCATCCCCCCTGGGGGGTGATTTCTCTCTTTCTGTCTCTATGTCTCTCTCTATCTGTCTGGTGAGTGTACGCACCCTATAGCGAAAATCTCTCAAAAAAAAAAAATAGACCTACTGGGACCAGCAGTTGGAGTAATAGCTATGTCACTGGACTCCCATGTAGTCGACGCAGTTCGAGTCCCGGACCCAGTGGCTTAAACTCACACCGGTCATGTGTGCGTGTGTGCCCAAGATCCCAAGAGGAGAATGGAGGAGAAGAGATTGTAGCGTGGCCATCCTCCCTGGGGGGTTATTTCTCACTTTCTGTCTCTCTGTCTCTCCCTGTCTCTCTGGTGAGCACACGCACCCTATAGCAAAAACCTCTCCCAACAACAACAACAAAAAATAGACCTACTAAGAGCTCTACATAATAGAGTTTCTTTTTTTAAAAAAAATCTTATTTATAATTTTTTAAAAACAGCTATTAAAACATGTGGACTGGAACCAGCAGATGGCATAATGGTTATGTCACTGGATTCCCATCTAGTCGACTGCAGTTCAAGTCCTGAATCCAGCAGCTTAAACTCACGCTGGGGGAACCAGCAGTTAGCGTAATGGCTATGTCGC